TTAGCTCACTTGGTTAGAGTGCAGGCTCATACACTGAGATTGCCGGTTTGATTCCCACATGGGCCAAGGAACTGCGCCCTCCACAACTAGATTGAAACAACTACTTGACTTGGAGCTGTTGCGTCCTGGAAAAACACACTGTTCCCCAATAAAATTTATTTTATTACTATATATATATCAGAAGAATAACTCTTTCTAATTGGTACCAATCTTTTCTACATATGAATTGGATGCTAAAGATGAAGTCCTGCCTAAGTATTGTTTGATAACCAATTCTACTTAAAGTGAGAGAAAAATATTTTCAAAACGTGAGTTAATGACCAAATTTTGTGGCAGATATTGAAATATGGAAGATACACTGCTAAACACTTTAGTTGATTTCATTGTTCTTCTGAAAACCTTAAAATAATCACCATGTTGGGGAAAGTATCCTTAGAACAGTCTGGGTAATTTGAAGAGGCACATGTGTTTCATTAAGCATATTTGGCTATTTTATAAATGAAAAGAAATATAAACAGGAAACCATGAAAGTACATTTCCTTCTTAAGAAACCTGTTAGGTGCTACAGAGAGAGAACTGTTTAGTTATAATTCCTGTCTCCTAAGAATTTATAAATCTAAAACAGACTATATTTACAGGATATGTAGAGAAAACAGTAAATGTAAGTAAAGTTTGTCAAAGTCAATGACTATTGTATTATATCAGACAATTGTAATAAATACTAGCTGCTATTCATTCAGCATCTACTCTGTTAAACCTGACATAATATGTTTTTAAAATATGTTATCTTGTTCAATTCTCACCTAATCTTGTGAAAAGATAATCTCGACATTTTGCGAATGAGGAAAATGTGGCTAAGAGAAGTTCAATAAATTGCCACATTAAAGCCACCCTTCTGGTAAGTGGCATAGGACTCCAACTTAGTTTTGTCTGGCTCCAAAACCTAAACTTTTCCCCTTACACTCCCTTGAAACATAACAGAGGGGGTTTCAGATTCAAGCAGGTGTTGGTTTAAGGCAGATCATGTTCTCAATTCTCCTGTAATGGGCCTCAAAAGGGTTCCTGGAAGGAATAGTATTTCTGGATTTATGGGATGATGTGAAGCTGGCATTTCAGTAGGCAGAAGTTATAGATGCTGGAAACTGCTGGAGGCCCGAGGAGGTCTCCGGTCGCTCCATTTCTTATGCAGTCATTATCATAACCAGTGAGTGTAACATGCATTCTTGATGTATAACATTCTAAGTAAGCTAGTGGGATTCCTTTTAATCTTTAATAGATATGGCAGTTTCCAGACCCCAAGGAGAGCTGCGAGAATTCCACGTCGTTGCTGCAATAGATCAGTGATCAGTGAAAGGGAGTCATTTTCTACCTTGAAAGTTATGGAGACTAAAGTAGAAACTGGTAAAACATGCAGTTGATTATATAGTGAAAGAGTTGTTATTTCTAATGTCATGGACTTTGGAAAAGTTTCATTTTAATATGATGAAAAGTAATTATAATATTGTTTGAGGGTTCAGGTGTTTTAAATGCATTTTCATTTATATATAGTTGCTCATCACCTGTCAGCTTGAATGTATTCATTCTGTTTCTTCAGTATATCGGATGTGAGAGTCTTGACTTTAAAAGACAATAATATGAAACATCTGTGCTACTCTGTTGATACAACTACTTTTGGAATGACAGCAAAAACGGAATTATTTCAATGTTGCTTATCATGACTGTGGTTGGTAAAGTAATATTTACAAAAGGAAATAAATCTTCGCCAGGAAATATTTTTCTAATTTGATGTTTAAGATTTAACTTTTTAAATATTGTTTATTTAATTATGTATAACTTAAAAAGATGAGCAATTTATATGGTATTGAAGTTTTTGTTTTATTTTTTGTTGCTGTTCTTTTAATTTAAAAAAAGGAAGTCCTTTCTAAGGGAAGAAATATCTAACTCCATTGCAAGCGCTGAACTGCATTTATTAATTCCAGTTGACTAACAACCAAACTAGATTAGAAAAGAAAAAATATCTGTTTTTCTATTTAGACCACACATAATATACATGTATTATTTAATTTGTGATTTGATGGATTAATGATTCTTCCTTTAAACTAGCCTATTAGGATTGTATTTACCCTCTACTTACGTTTCCTCCTCGTTCGGGTAAACCTTCTTTGTAGTCAGTACAGTATGTATAGTAAGTAGACTTGAATACATAATTTTGGGAGGTGTTTTTGGTACCTATCTTTGTATTTTGAAATAAGTATAGATTCACAGAAAGTTGCAAAAAATAATAGAGGTCCCATGTAACCTTCACCAGCAGTAGTGCTGATTTCCCCCACGTTCACATTTGTATAACTAGGGTAGCACATGTTTATTTTTTAATACATAATTTTCGATGAACTGTTTTCAATTTTTCTTGTTCTTACATGCTCTTTTTCTTTACATCTTTTGTTTTATTGTAAACCTGACAAGGAATGAATGAAGCCGTGTTAAGTTTGTCCCTTTAATGTTTGCCTTTCCTGTGTGGGTTTGGATCTCTGAGATATTGGCCTCTAAATAAACACGCTACTTCGAATGGAAAGGGTGTGTTGGGTTTGGCTCTTAGATCCAGTATTTGGCATTTCCACATCATTGTCTTCAGAGCAGAAATAGTGAATGTTTCAAAGATGACCGACCACCACTGTGGGGCCCTGTGGCTGCTTGTTTGTCCAACCCCACGTGTCAGGGGCACCCACCGTGTCATCGGCCTTCTTCGTGCCTCCCTCTCCCACTGCTGACTTGACTTTCCTCCTCACCCACCTTCCATCCCACCGTGTCTTTCATCTGCAGCACAGGGAGGCAGCTCAGTTTTGTCCGACCCCAGGCCAGAGGGGAATCACAGGCTCTCCCGGGGGCCCCTCATTCTCCACTTCTGCTCCACAACTTCCTGTAGCCTCCTTAGCCCTCTGAAGCCAACTCCCTCCCACAGCTTCCTCCCTGACTTCCTTGAGTTTTTGCATCTAGTGGGAAAGCCTGCCTCCGAACACCCTCTCTCCTGTATCTGCTCATCTTCTCTTCCTGCTTTCTCAGGAATCTATGCTCTCATCATCTCCCCTCTTTTTATATCTCTGTTTTTTCTCCCCTCTATGGATCAGTACCATCAGCATTTCTTAAGCCTGCTTAAGCATTTTCCAATAAACAAAAACTCCACTCTCCTCCTTCCCGCTGCAACCACTGCCTCGCCCTTCCGGAAACAGCAGTTAACTGTTGTATGTGCACTCCCTTTGTCTCACTTCCTGCTCAGCTCCAGCCTTCTCTCATGGTGCCCCTGCCCCCATCACCCTGGCAATCGCTTAGGTTCCTGATGACGCCTGTCACTGGTCCACTAACTATAACTTCCTAACGGGTTTGTCCTAATCCATTCCTTCCTTCTTCCTATTCAATGTCTTTTTAAAATACAAATCTAACCCTGTGACTTCTTTGCTTAAAACTCCCCAACTGCTCACCACAGAGGTAGAGCCTGAGGGTGGAGACCAGTGTCCTTGCTTGGCTAGGCCTCCCAGCTTCTCGCTTCTGACCGGCCTCCTGCCTGCCTCTCCAGCCTGACTGCAACCCTGCTTTCTTTCATGTCCTGCCATCGGCCCTCTGCATATGCTGTTTCTTCATCAGGGATTTTGATACAAGCTGTTGGCATATATGACAACTAAATCTTTATTTTTTAAAAATGCTGTTTGAGGAAATCTTGTTTTATACAGATGGGTGCCCCTGGTGTCAGAAACTCCAGGCCCTTTATCCTACCAGAACTTACATGGTACAACTTCCTTCAGATCGTGTCTTTAACTCCTAAAAATTGCCTTTTCTGCCGGGTTTGCTTTTCTTATAGCCATATGGAAAGAGAAAAGACCTTGTTGTCTGACACAGGTTTGTTGTCTGAGCCTTCCTCATGTGCTACTGTAATCTTTCCCTGAAGAAGCCATTTTTTTAATGATCATTCTTGTATTCATTCCTTCCTTCTGCAGATATTTATTGTCTGCTGTGTACCAGGCACTGTTCTAGGCTCTAGGGAGATGGATGGATGGATGGATGGATGGATGGATAGATAGAATAGATAAGATAGATAGATAGATAGATAGATAGATAGATAGATAGATAGATGATAGATAAATTAGTGCTTAGTTCCCCTTCCAGCAGACAGCTCACATTATGATTCATTGGTGGCTAATTTATATAACTAGTGCTGAGTAACCTGCCATAGGTCTTTCATATAATGTATTTCTCTTCAGAGGGACTTTTAGGTTAGATTAGATTTTAAATGGAGTTCTATAAAGTGGTTGTTTTCTTCAATAAATATTAGTGTTAATAATTTTAAAGCAGACTAAGATGGACTAAAGTACTTCTTCAACTCCATTATTAGTTTGTTTCTCAGAGAAGATGTGATGGTATGGGATGAGGCCTGCTTATTCTCAGAAAGGAAGCTGTAAATCACACAGGGACGTTACACTGACTCTCCAAGCTCTGTAGTTCTTTCAGGTGGGAAAATAAAAGGATGCAATTCATTATTGTAGATATTTGTTAGGTATCAATTCAGTTCTAATACTGGCTGGCGCCATGAATTATAACTTATTTTTGACATTTTAATATTTTATTCTTATCACCATTTATTAAGTACACATAAGGGTCAATAGAGCACTCAAATGGGCTTTCGTTGGTAAAAAAGGAACAGAAAAAGTATTAACTTTTACTAAGGTTTTAAGTAGATTTTAAAAAAATAATGCCAATATCTTAGTTCCCTACAATCTTGTATTCTCATGTACAAACCCCTATTGGACAATTTCTACTTTTTGAAATTAAATGGAATGTCTTCATCCTTTCTTTTCTACTAAAATATTTCAAAGTTGTTATTTTAAACCACAATGAAATCCTATTATTTTTTCATTTGATGTTATTTTTAACTTTCCTGCCTCATAAGTAACATAGTGCAATGAGTTATTAAGCAATTTACTCACATATGTATTCTTTTGTTTTTCAAGTCAATGCCCAAAAATATGGTGTCTCGTCTTTGTGAATCTAAAAAGATTTGTGCTGCAGCTGATATGCAACTTCAGGTATGTACGTACCTTTGTTCTGAAGTTTTCTAGAGTAATCCTTCAAAATAAATACATATCTTTAAATTCTTGCCAATGCTACACATTTATTATAATAATTATGTTTCTAAAACGTCTTTCATCTGAGTTCAAAGAACTTGACCAGAATTGACTGATTCAGTCCTCACACTGTCCTTATGAAGCAGATATTAAGGACATTTTCTAATTTCAGTCTGGAAAATTAAAGCTTGGAAAAGTTATGTGACTTCTAAATCATACATTTCAGCAACCAACTTTATATTGTTACTCACTTTGTTTCTATTTTTAAATTTGTGTTTTTAGATGTGAATTTGAAGAGTAATGACTGTTAGTTTTTGATAATATTCAAAACCAATATTCCAGGTTTACATATGGAGACTAGAAAGATTTTATGATCCATCTGGATGTCAGGTCTACATGATACTAGATGTTTATGTTATTTGTAATTACTGAGATTGTTTATGGAATTCTTAGTCCTCATCAGATCTTGAGAGTTACATAAGCATAATCTAAACATCTACCTTTCATTTCAGGCATCTCAAAATAGTCACTTTATAATGATCCAGCTACCTATTTAAAAGTGTAGCCAGTCTTTAATTGCTTTATAGTTTTGTAAAATTCAGTCCCTAAAAAGTAATGAATGAGCTCTGTTTTTATTGTACCTTAACATTTTCTCTGCAATGTTCGTCTATAGTCGAATGATATTTCCATGCCGCTGACTGTGGCATTTGACTTGACCCCATGAGCTCAGTGTTCCGGAAAGGAAGTTTCGGAAAGCAGATGTACATTTTTCAATATTTTTGTGTTTTTCAAGAATGAATAACAATAGGAAATTTTTATACTTTAAAATAATCATTTATTTTAACAAAATGTAGCACCTTAATTGGATTTACTAAAAAATATGAATACTGTAATTATTTCTGTGGATTTTTGACACATCTTGGAAAACAAACTTGAAATCAATTAACACAGTAAAAAGGTTAAAATATAAATTTCAGTGAAGAAATGCCCACTATAGACAAAACCATGAATTTACATTTGATTTACATTATTTAGTGTCTATTCATATCAATGTAATTTAAAAAGAATTTCAGAATTATTTGAAAAAATTAGCACTGTTTGGCAAGAGTCTTTTGATTTGCTGATAACTGTATCAGAAGAGTAGTTTAAAAGGGCTTTCTTTTTGAGCAATTGTTCCAGTGTTTTTCTTTTAAAATGGAAAATTAACCTTTCACTCCCCCCACCCTCCAAAAAGAATAAACTCCCTGAGGGGGGGGAGAAGTGGGGGGGGGTTAGAGAGAGAGAAGAGGGAGAGGGAGAGGGAGAGGGAGATGGAAGAATAGAAGGGCTGTGGGAGGAGAGAGGCAGAGGGAGAGAGGGGAACTCTTGCCGGAGGAGCCACTTGTGCCAACTTTCATATTATACACAAAAGTCCCCTTGTACAGTGGAGACAAACAAGGGTGGAAAGGAATTGTTTCAGATTTCTAAGGGGTTATAAACAGTATTTTAAAAATTGTGAATTTTTGTTTGTCATGCACTGTTTTAAAAATAGGCATTTATTTTTCTGTTTCTCTAAGGATCTTGGAGCCAGGCTCATGACTCCCTGGGTGGGCAAATAGGCTCATCGTTTTAGAATTGTTTGGTTTATCAGCAGATGAGTGTGAAATACATGCACATTTAATTTATTTTACTGTTTTTATAATTGAAGTAGTCATTCCATGCTTATGCCTTTCTTTTGTGAAAGGCACAAGTCAAAGAATGAAACTCTTGAATTCTTGTTTGTTTATAGATTGGGGCAAAAAGCCCCACCTCAGTTGAGGTTAGAATCTAAGAGTTTCAATTCCTAATAATTTATTCTGTTAGAACATAGACAAGACATGGATGAGTAATTTTGGCTCCTCTGATTATCTTTATGTATTGTTACTCATTATAGAATAGAGCATTGAGAGAGCTGTATTTAGCTATATGTTTAGATTACCAGTTAGAGTAAAGCAATATTTATATTTAGGAAATGTCTATATTTTTCTAGGGAAGGTTTAAACTTGACTTTATAATTTAGAACCATAATTCTATATCTAGATGAAGCCAGAAGCTAGAGGTCATTTAAATTTTTTCTTTTATCCCAACTAATCCTCACTTCTTTCAAGTCAACAGCTGCACATTCTCTGCAAATTCCATTTTTGAATCAGAAAGATGAATATCAGAAACATAATTGCACATCAGAATTTTTCCTTTAAAATAAAACATTTTCTACATTCTGGCTCCAGGTGAACTCCAAACAATGCTAATCATATTCAAGTCAAAAAGCACTTTATCTTTGCTTTAGATTTTATGCAGAATTTAGTGTTCAGAACTCTGCTAGCAGCAGATTTCATGTTCAAACTTTTTCTAATGCTTTATTCTGCTGCTATCATGTTTCAGTGGCCTGTACCCTCTACCTAGAGGTGAGTGATCCTTCTCTCCTGGTCACCTCCTTAAGCCAGAATTGCCCCTGCACAGCAGCTGCTTCCTTTGTACCTTCTGCCACCAGGTGTGGGGACTGACTTGGCCCTAGCTCCAGATTTTTCAACAGCTGCACCAGAATTCTTTGTAACATCTGTCCCCTTTCTTCACCTCACCCCACCTATCTATGTTCTTCACCTCTCATTACAAAACTAGGGTTCTGACCACTTCATTCTTCTCATTTAAGATATACAGGATTCCAGGAAGAAACCAAGCAGGATTTGTTAGGTCCTGGGGGGATCACAAGTTATAACTTTATTTTTCGTATTTCCAACTATATTTACTGCCTATATATAGAGAGGCAAAATTCTAGTTTTGTAGTCACAGATTTAACTTGCTACATTGTATGTAAAGAGTACCTTACAGGGCCAGCCGAGTGTCTCATTGGTTAAGAGTTGGCTTGGGAGCATGAGCTCTGAGCAGCAGGGCCCCAGTTCGGTTCCCACATGAGGGCCAGTGACGCTGTGCCTCTACAGCTAAGATCGTGAACAACAGCTCCACCTGGAGCTGGGCTGCCATGAGTCGCTGGCGACAGCATAGGCTGAAGTGGTGATACAGTGGGGCTGCTGTAGGCTACTGTGAGTGGCCGGCAGCCGGCGTGAGCTGCCGGCAGCGTGAGCAGCCATGAGCCACCATGAGCAGCTGTCCAAAGGCCGGCAATCAATCTGCCTCACTTGGGAAAAGCACAATGATATTACCAACATGGGCCAGTGAAGTGACATCCTCCACAACTAGACTGAAGAACAAAAGGACAGCAACTTGTCTGTTCTCCTTCCCCAATTCCCCAATGCTGTCCCCTCCCCCAATTCCCTCAATAAAATCTTTTTTTTTTTTAAATAGTACCTTACAGATAAGGTTTGGGTTTTTTTTCTTAAGATTTTTTTTTTCTTAAGATTCTTTTTTTCTTAAGATTTTTATTTCATTAAAAATATAGCTAACAGACAGTATTATATTAGTTTCAGGGGTACACCATAATAATTCAACATTTAGAGATGTGATTACCATGATAAGTCCAACAACTCAAGATTCTTTAATATCTTAAATTGCGAAAGTTTGAGAGCTTTCCTTTTCATCATTGACATGATCTTAAGTGTTGAACAAAACACATCTCATGCCATATACATCTATATTTGTGAATTTTTTCAACTGTGATTTAAAATTATGATTCTGGTATACTTATAACATCTTTGGTCAGCCACATCTTAGATACAAGGATGGACTACCCAAACTAAATAGATGTTTTCATCTGTCTAGGTCTTTTATGCCACTTTGGATCAAATCTACCATGGGAAGCATCCCCTGCGGAGGTCAACCACAGACATTCTCAAGGAAACACAGGAAAAATTTTATGGCTTACCATATGTTCCAAACACTGTGAGTCTAGCATTTGAATCCTGTTGTATGCCATTGAAAGGTTCTGCTGGTGTATCCATCACTGAGTAGGTTGTGATCACCTTCCCCCTTGCAGAACTTGGAATCCTTACCTTTATATGGCAGTTTCACCTGGGGCAAATGCTAGAAATTGCCTAGCTCGTATAATGTCTCCAACTGTCTATTTACATATGCTTCTTTTCCTCCTGCTAGCAGTGTTTTTCTTGATTGCTGGGAAAGTGGGGTAAAAGTCATTAGCATTAGTCTGTATTCTTTTCTGCTTTTTTTCTGTGATGAGAAAAGTGGTTAGTGATACAAAATGAATGTGATTATCAATCTCTAATCATTTTCATTGCAAAGGGAATGATTACTTACTGAGTACCTTATTTGTATCAGGGCTTGTAATACATCTTTTGCACATCGTAGCTCATTTAGTGTCCTGTTACAATAGAGGGCAGAAGTGTTGTTACCATTTATTGAATACTAGGTGCCAGACTCTAACTGCTTTGCAAACAAATCTCTAATTTAACTCTCAAAACAGCCTATAATTTTTATAATATCCCCATGTTTGGGACTCATATTGTGGCTCATACACATTATATGTCTTGTCCAAGATCATGTAGGTAGTAACTGATTATGTTGGGATTCAAAACTAACCTCTAAAGTCACGCATTTTTCAGTGTTCCAAGGTTCCTGTAAGGAAGCTGAGTATAGTCGAAAGACTATTGGCTGGTACAGTTAGCAATGTAACTGACTCCTTTATATTACTCAGGACTCTCTCAGTTGCAAGTGATAGAAACCTAATTCATATTGGATTAAGCAGAAAAGGGAATTTATTGAGTCTCTCATAGCTGAAAGGTACAGGAATGTATCTGGTTTCAGGTAAGTTGGATTTAGTTAGTTCTTACACAGTATTGTTAGAAATGTTTCTCTTTCCATTTTTCAGCTCTTTTCTCTGGATTTGTTTCGTTCTCAAGCATACTGCCCTGACTAGGTGGCATGGTGGCTACCAGTAGGTCCAGGCTTATAGCCCTTTAACTTAGCCAGTCTAACAGAAAGAGAGCTAGTTTGAAAGTGCTTTGTAATCAGTAAAATGCCAAGCAAATGTGCTTTCATTTATTACAATATTGGATACCAGCACATTTTGTGCTAAGAGGTTAAGTGAATTAGTAAACTATAAGTGTCCACTAGATCTTCAGGTCCTAATACTCAGACATGCATGGAAATAGTTCATATTTACCAGGCACATGAAGTAACAGGGTATTTTATCTTCATAATACTGTTATCAGCAGTTTTTGATTGTCTTAGAAGCTTAAGCATAAACTCCAGATATGTAGTGCTAATCGTACTTCATGCCTATTTTTGACCTTATATGTAATTTATTGTTCTAATGCTATGTGCTGTTCAGCTCTGGATGAGCTGTACTAGTGAAAATTTGTAGTAATAAGAATAATCTATTCGTTAGTGGAATAAATCATAATAATAATTGCCTATATTTTAATAGCTTTTTTAGTTTATAGAACATTTAAAATGCACATAGAACAGTCTCAGGTATAGAGCACATATTAAGCCACAAAACAAGTCTCAGTAAATTCAAGAAGATTGAAATCATATTAGACATTCAAAGAAAAATTAATACCTATCCCTGTTGAACTATTTCAAAAAATTGAAGAGAAAGAAATGCTTCCAAATTCATTCTGTGAAGCCAGCAATACCCTGGTACTAAAACCAGACAAATTACAAAAAAAAAAATTATAGGTCAATATTCTTGATGAACATAGATGCACAAATTCTCAACAAAATGTTAGCAAATCAGATTTAACAATACATTTAAAGGATTATAAGCCATGAAAAAGTGGAATTCATCTCAGGGATGCAAGGATGGTTCAAAATATGTAAATCAATAAGTGCAATACAGCACATAAAGAAAATAAGGGTAAAACCATATGATCATCTTAGTAGATGTAGAAGAAACATTTTACAAAAATCCAACTTTCTTTCATGATAAAAACTCTCAACAGAGTGCATGTAGAAGGAACATATATCAACAAATTAAGGCTGTATGTGACAAACCCATAGCTAATGTCATATTCAGTGGTGAAAAACTGAAAGCTTTTCCTCTAAGGTCAGGAACAAGACAAGGATACCCACTTTCACCACTTTTAATCAACATAGTATTGGAAATCCTAGCCACAGCAATCAGACAAAAAATAAAAGGCATCTAAATCAGTAAGGAAGAAGTAGAACTCTCATTATTTGAAGATGACATGATGCTATATATAGAAACCCTAAAGACTCCACCAAAAAACTGTTAGCACTAATAAATGATTTCAGTGAAGTTGCAGGTTACAGAATTAATGTACAGAAATCTGTTGTGTTTCTAGACACCAATAATGAACAATTAGAAATTAAGAAAACAGTCCCATTTACAGTTGCTTCAAAAAGCATAAAACACCTTGGAATAAATTAACTAAATAGGTGAAAGACCTGTGCTGTGAAAACTATAAGACATTGAAGAAAGAAAACTGAAGATGATACAAATAAATGGAAGGTTATGCCTTGCTCATGGATTGGAAGGATTAATATTGTTAAAACGTCTTTACTGCCTAAAGCAATATACAAATTCAGTGCAATCCCTATTAAAATACCAATGACATTCTCAAAATTAGAACATCAAATCCTAAAATTTATATGGAACCACCAAAGAAATAGCCAAAGAAATCTTGAGAAAGAACAGTGGGAGGCATCATGCTCTCTGATTTCAAACTACACTACAAAGCTACAGTAATCAAATAGTATAGTAGTGACATAAAAACATATAAATAGATCAGTGGAATAGTATAGAGAGCCAAGAAATAAATCCTCACTTACATGGTCAATTAATTCACTAGAAAGGAGGCGACACTATGGGCCAAAGACAGTCTTTTCAATAAGTGGTGTTGGGAAAACTAGACATACATACCAAAAAAAAAAAAAGAAAGAAAGGGAAAAAAAAAGAAATTAGACCACTTTCTTATACCATATGCAAAAATAAACTCAAAATGCATTAAAGACCTAAATGTAAGCCCTGAAACCATAAAACTCTTAGAAGAAAACATAAGCAGTACTCTTGCACATTGCTCTTAGCAACATCTTTTTGGATATGTCTTCTTGGGTAAGCGCAACAAAAGCAAAAATAAACAAATGGGACTACTTCAAACTAAGAAGTTTTTGCACAGCAACGGAAACCGTCAAGAAAACGAAAAGGCAACCTACTGAATGAGAGAAGGTATTCACAAACGATACATCCAATAATGAGTTAGTTAATATTTAAAATATATAAGGAACTCATACAACTTAACACCTAAACAGTAAGGAATCCAATTAAAAAATGGGCAGAGGACCTGAATAGACATTTCT